TTCAGTTTCTGATGAGAGCACTGTTCCTGGCTTGCAGATGGCCCCTTTCTTCTCACGTGCTCTCTCCTCTGAGCATGAAGAGAGGAAGAGTGAACTCTCTGGTGTCTCTTTTTAGAAGGATAGTAATTTTATAGGATTAGGCCCCTACCCTTATGACCTCATTTAACCATGATTACTTCCTGAAGGCTGTATCTCCAAATACAGTCCCCTTGGGCATTAGGGCTTCAGCATATGAATGGGGGGGAGGTGCAGGGGATGCAGTTCAGTCCACCACAATTGTTGATTTTTTTTCCCTTGTGTTCAAAAGCCTCATTTTTAATGAGAAAATACAAAACTTTGATATTATCTATCAACCACAGGGAATATTTTAAATAACTAAACCTCTCAGGATAAATTAACTTTCAATTATTATTAAAATATTGAGATGTTTTATGTGTCATCCTTCAGTTTAGAAGGTCACGTGGTCTGTACTAGGTAGTGATCCTGGCACTCACTAGCACACTCTGCAATAATATGAGAGTATTGCTTGCTGTTTCACCATTGTTTGCCTACTCTCCATATGACTATTTAAAGACGACAGTTGTTTAAGAAGGCACTGTAATAGGATCTCCACTTCCTGGTAGAAAATAGAAGTGGAACTCAAGAGTTTGATAAATATTCTTCCTTTAAAAGGTTATTTGAGGTAAAACTAAGTATTGTTTTAATAGTGTCTAGCCCTGTAGTGATTTATACCACAACCTTAAGAAGTACCCTTAATTTTCTGAATTGGAATTATGTAATGTGATGATAAATTTAGCAATAGTAGTTCATATTGAAGTGCAAAGAACTATTCTAACAATGTTAGGTGTAATTATTCTTCTAAGCCTCACAGTAAATCTGTGAGAAGTTCCTATATTTAGCCACAATTCACCCCGACAGAAGTGAGGGATAAGAAGGTTAAGTCATTTGCCTTAGACCACACAGTCATGGGTGAATGAATCAAGAAGTAGCTCTCAGTGAATCAGGAAGTAATTGTTACTACCCTTGGTTACATACAAGTTGTGAAAAACAGGATGATGGGTGCAAAAAAGGAAAAAAAGGACCTTTGCTACATGGAAATCAGAATATAAAAAATGCTAAATTTGTGGTGGGTGTCATAAGAGCAACAGTGAGCCCTGGCAGGGACGAAGCTCCTGGAGAAGACCTCACAGGCACTGTTCCTCCAGAAGCCATCAGTAGATCACTTGGGACCAGGATCACTTGGGAGGTTTGTTTAAAATGCAGATTTCTGGGCCCACCCTAGAAGTAGGAAGCATGAATGAGGGTTAGAGCCCAGCTCTGTGTTTTTATGAGGCTGCTGCCTTAAAGGATAGATTCTGTTTGGATGAAAAAGGATGGCAGCTTTCCCAGCAAGGCAACAACAAGGGCAGAGAGGTGGAGAAGCATGGTTTGTTTGGGAAGTGTAGGAAGGAGAAAGATCTGTGGGGAGAAGGAAGAGGCTGTTTTGAAGAGCAATGCAGAATAAGACCGAATAAAGGTATTAAGGCCAGGTTGAGGTAGGACTTGAGAAATCAGGGAGTTTCAATTTCATGTGGAAATAATCACAGATACTCATGAACAAGAATGTAGCCTGATGAAAAATGTCATATAACACGTTGATGGCAATGTCACCCAAATCTGGGTGACAGTTGTGTTTCCTCAGGGGCATCCAATCCACAGTGGGCAATCAAATGCATTAAGGAAAATCTGTGAATGAGTAAACTCTTATTTTAAAAATTTTACCTTACCAGTTTTTTTTTTTAACATTTCTGAGTATTTCCTAAAAATATTTATTTCTTATTTTGTCTTTTTGGCTTCTGGATCTCTTGTAGGAAAGGAATATGTTACATTCATAAATGTCTTCAAAGACCTCTGAAGTTATCCTCAAAATGGGGTGTCAAAGTCAAAGACTATGTAGTGTGAGAGCTAAGAGTGAAGACAGCCATGTCATCCTGCATATCTCTAGGTTTCATGGTTCAGATCTGTTTCTTTTTTCTGCCTCTGACCCTCCTGTTTTGTTGGTACAAGCATAAGTTGCTATGGCCTCCACAGGAGACAGTAGGGCGCTATCTATCAAATTTTAAAATTGAGCAATTCTGCTTCTGTATAGATACACTGACACCTCTATGCAGAGATTTATAACAGTACAGTGATGTTCAAGGTCTGGATTGATCAAATACTGAAAGCAGCTTAGATAGTCAATAAATATCTGGTTGTATAAAATAGGCAATGAAATATTATATAGTCACTAAAAAGATTGTTAGTTTCATGTTGGTATAGAAAGATATCTAGGATATATTTTCAGTGAAAACAGCAAGATGCAGAGCAGGAGGTGTGTTGTGCTACAGTATGTGTGTTATTTATTTATAGAGATGGAGGTGGAATATAAGAGGGTCTAAGGTTAGAGGAAAACCTCCCTCCCATCTTTTAATATTTTGATACCATTTAAGCTTTGACAAAGTCCATTACTGTAAATCTGCCTTTTAAAGTGAATCAAAATGTACATTATCATTAAAAGCCTGCCAGTAAGATATTCTCACATAGAAAATTCAGGAAGTGTCATGTGCATGAGTGTGTGTGATCAAAGTAAATGCATCTTAAGACAGTGTTAGAATTGTGTTCTATGTCTGTTACTTCTTTCCTCCAGTTTTATTGAGATATAATCAATATAGAGCACTATATGTTTAAGGTTTGCAGTATAATGATTTGACTTACACACGTGATGAAATGGTTACCACAGTAAGTTTAGTGAACATCATCATCTCATATAGACACAAAATTAAAGGAATAGGAAAAGTATTTTTTCCTTGTGATGAGAGCTCTTAGGATTTATTCTCTTAACAAATTTTATATATAATATACAGCATTGTTAATTATATTTATCATGTTGTATATTACATCCCTAGTACTTATAACTGGAAGTGTGTGCCTTTTGACTGCCTTCATCCAGTTCCCCCTCCCACCACCTTCTGCCTCTGGTAACCACAAATCTGATCTTTTTCAATGAGTTTGTATGTTTTTTTGTTTGATTTTGAAGTATAAATGACCTATAACACCAGTTAGTCCCTGTTGCACAATATAGTGATTAGGTATTTCTGTGCATTTCAAAATGATCACCACGATAAGTCTGGTTACTGTCTCACCATACAAAGATACTACATAGTTACTGACTATATTCTCCACTCTGTACATTTCATACCCATGACTCATTTATTTTGCAGCTGAAAGTTTGTACCTCTTAATCTTCCTCACTTATTTTTCTCCTCCCCCCACCCCACGTCCCTCTGGCAGCCACCTGTTTTTTTTTTTTTTTGTATCCATGACTGTTTCTGTTTGGTTCTGTTTGTTCATTGGTTTTTTTAGATTCAACATATAAGTGAACTCATACAGTACTTGCCTTTTCTCTGTCTAACTTATTTCACTTTTCATAATACTCTCTAGGTCCATCCATGTTGTCACAAATGGCAAGATTTCATTCTTTTCTATGACTGAATAATATTCCATTGTCTGTGTATGCCCATCTTCTTTATCCTTTCATCTATTGATGGGCATTTAGGTTGCTTCCCTATCTTGGCTGTTGTGAATAATGCTGTCCATCTGTTACTTTTAATATGTGTTCTCAGAGACATCAATCATTTCATTCAGTCATTCAGTAAATATTTATTGTGCACATACTATGTGCTTTTACTTAAAGTAAACTTTTACTTGGGCCTGAGAATTTCTTTAAAACTATGGGCTTTTAAAATTAGAAAGAAGGAACCTTGAAGATCAATTTCTTCCTGTTTTAGGCAAAAGAAACCCGAAATCCAAATAAACTTGTCCGGGTCTCACCATGTGTTAGCAGCAGAGCTGCTGGGAGAACCCAGACCTCCTACGTGCCCATCCCCAGTTCTCTGTGTGCACCACCCTCAGCGCTGTCAGAGGACCAACTCACCTTGGGTTTTCCTCAGCCTTTTCTTTCCATGATAGTAAAGTCAGTTCAGATCCCTTTCAGTGGATTTGGCTCCTCAAATGAGTATTTCCGGAAAGACTTAATTGGTAGCAAAGATATAGAATCTCTAATATTAAATATTTAGAGGAAACCAAATGTTCTGAATTTTATTTTCTTCTCTTAAAAAGTAGCATTTTAATTTATATACTATGTACTGTCTTCAAAGTTTATGCTATATGTTTTGTTTGGATACTTTTGCCTATAATGTTAATCACTCATATTAAAAACGTGTTTGGTTGTCATGGCTGAAGAAGCATCATATTAAAAAAATAGTTTTGTGGCGTATACTTTTCCCTAAAGTGAGCAAGGAGCATGCATATGTAAAGAAGAAAGGAAGGAAGCATTCCATCACTGAACAGCATTTTTTGAATTGTATGTTTTTACTCAGCTCTCAATATTAAGTCGCCCATAACTAGGTTATGAGCGTGTCCGACGCAAGGTCAGTTGCTTATTTGGTCCCTCACATCCTTCTGCTGACTCAGTGTGACATACCCGTGAGGCATATCTTTCATCAACTATCAGTGTTTCAGATTCTCACCCAAATCCTTCTAATACTTACCGAACCAACGCTACGATGGAACAAGTGAAGGCACTGACTTTCGCTGTGGAGTTTGTCACATTCTTTAATGAGAGAGACAGATGGTGCTACTGTTGGGCTTGAGGGCATCATTTCCGTATTAGCACTGAGACCAGAGCGTGTGATGTAGGCTTTCTTCTCCAGTAATAATGAACCAGACTAGAGGGTTTTTCCAGTTCCCAACGAGTCGAATTCAGTGCATCTTTTTCGGCCTCATTGTTTGCATATTAAATTATACTAAAAATTAACAGTAGTACTTTTTCCCTGAAAATATAAGGAAAGCAAAGGCCATGGTTGCTTCATAGAAACCAGGGAATCCCTCCATGTGTGTTAGATGCAGGCCACTTACACAGCCCTGACTGTTCAAGTTTTCAACCTGCCTGTGTTTGGTTTCCCTCCTTTCTCTTGCTGAAGCTGCGAGAGAAGTCATCTGGTTGGAGAGAGAAGAGCGAGCCAGGCAGCACTACGAAAAGCACCTGGAGGAGCGGAGGAAGAAGTTAGAGGAGCAGAGGCTGAAGGAAGAACGGAGGAGGGCTGCTGTGGAGGAGAAGCGGAGGCAGAGGCTCGAGGAGGACAAGGTGAGATGCTCGGAAAAGGGCCGCGGGCTCGTCTGTTCCAGAAACGCAGCACATTTACCATGAAGCTCTCCATTCAGGTGCTGGGATGCGCGGCAGGAAGGCTTCAGAGGCAGCAGCTTTACGGATAGTCAGTTTCTAGGGGAGGTTGTGGCATGGAAATCCGATTGAGAATCGTATGGTTGTTGTCGCCACAGAAACTTTAAAAGCCCATTTCTCTGGCCTAGGTCTGTAACTTACTTTTGTTTACTTCATCTATACTGAAGTGGTAAGACTGCTCCCAGGAACTGGATTTCTGGAGGGCTTTACCTTTTACATTTTCGCATACATTATCTCATTTAACTCTTACTCAGCCCTCAAGTAAGTGTTACCAGTTTTTGTGAAAGTAGAAGTGTAGACTCGGAATCAGTAAGTTACACGAAGTCATACAATTCATTAAGTTGTGGGGTCAGGATTACCCACATCCTCAGATTCCTAAATGTTGTTTTTAAGATACAGTACCGCATGTGTCAAACATCTGTCTGAGCTAAGACCTGCACCACCAGACTCATGTGAGTTGATGAAACCATCATACTCCCAGTAGTAATAATAACAGTCATTTATTGAAGTACCTGCTGTCTGCCAAGGGCTTTATCGACTGGAACTTAATAATGTCAATAACCTCCCCTCCCCAGGTTAATATTACTCTCACATTAAGGTGTCGGACTTAGGAGATAGATCAGGAGTACTAAGGTTGAAATCTAAGCAGCACCTCTCACTCCACTCTGTCTTGAGTTGAAGAATCCTCAACCAGCAAGGTTGACTAATCGTCAGCCCCTCGGTTCCATTTAAGGAACGCCATGAAGCTGTTGTACGACGTACGATGGAAAGGAGCCAGAAGCCAAAACAGAAGCATAACCGGTGGTCCTGGGGAGGTGCTCTCCATGGGAGCCCCAGCATCCACAGTGCAGGTAAGTAGACAGCAACTGCTTTCAGAAACTACTATTTTTTTTTCCTGCACAGTGAAAGTCTCACTTGCTTCTTTATTCTAAGTCTATATTTGCAAAACAAAAATCCTGCAGAAATAATTAAACTACAATTAAATGTTGCTTCTACTGTTTGAGGATAAGGGGGTGATGGAGGTAAGAAGATAAGGTCCCCTCCCTCCACATGGGCTGCTTTTCTCATTTGTTACAAAATTCTTTAAAGAAATAGAAATCTCTGCAGTGTTTCTAAATAAATAGCTAGTTTCAACTCTATGTTATTATAAGTAATTGATTTGTATAGGGGTTTCAGGACGATGGAATAGGTTAACCCGTTTTGTCTCTGTCTCTGGAGGAGTCATAGCAATATTGATGATCAGAGCCAATACCATGAGCTTATGTATCCTGACCCTACAGTGTATGCAACACTCAGGCTCAGTGAGAGGAAGTGCAGATTTCTGAAGCTAGAAATAATTGTGGATGTCAAAGCGATTCCCTTGTTCTTAAATGGACATAAAATCATACTGACATTTGGACTTAGCAAAAGGCTTTACTTTTGTACTGTAAATTCAATATGCCTTGGATTTTATATAGTGTGTCAGTTCTTTTTCATTTGTGTGAGTCTAATAAACTTTTTTTTTTAATTTACTTTGAATAGTCATTGTCTTACATTCTGTCCCCAGGTGGTTTTGTTGAATCATCATTCACCTTTCTCGATTTAGCAGGCCTGGACCACCACTTCACAACTTTTGGTGGTACTAGAAAACCTGGTACAGACATCCTTGTGATTTGCCGATTGCCTGACCTGTAGCTAGCTCCTCAGACCTAGGGCCAGCTCATCAGTAGCTGAACCATCACCACCGTAGTCATAACGCATGCTTACTGTCCTGCTGCGTAGACCTAGATCTGGGATACGGCACAGTGTTTCTCAAGTGTTGAGAATGTAGCTCAGGTGACTTAAAGGTATGGAAATAAAATAATTACATGTGATATGTTTACTTTCTCTTTAAAGGATCATTTTGGATAAAACCTTAAAAAAAATGGTTTTTTGCTGATAAATCACCTGGGATCAAAGTACATCTGGTTTGTCTTTATCCACCCAACCCCACCGCGCAGTCAGTGTAGCTATTAACACTTCCAGTTTTCATCTAAGACTGGATTTTTGTTTGTTTGCTCTTCTCTTTCACTCCTAATGTTCAGTGTATCTTCTGTAACCCTTCATTTAATAAAAATCTAAATGTATTATTGCCACAACTTTCTTTCCTATGCAGTGAACCATACTTGAAAGCACCCCTGCCTTAGCTCTTCATGACCCCTTGGTGTTTGAGGTGGGGCGCATATCAAATCTGGGATCACTAGGACCACTTATATGCGACACTCCATTCTAGGGATGGTTTTGCATATGTGTTTCATGCAAAAAAGCTGTCAAGGTGTATATTTTTGTAAACTTACATATTTTTCTTTTACTTAGCTTCATGTTTTACATGTGTATGTTACACATGTAAATCTGCTAAAGATTTTCAAACATTTCTGAGGGGAAATGAAGTTACTTAACTTTAATTCTTGTTTTCCATGCTCAGAATTTAACATATGATCTTTGTTGTTGCCACTTAGAGCAAGAGAAACCAACGTTGTATTTGTGAGCTGTTGGATAAAATCCATTTTATAAGAACTGTGAACTAGAAGAAATTGCCCCTATACTAGAACAGAGAAGTTTGAAAATAATGGGAATTTGCCAAAATTCTCAAAGGTCAAAATGATCTGCTGTGGTCCTAAGAGCAGTGACCAGGTCTTACTCATTTTGAGTACCCCTTACTTCACAGCAATGCCTAACTTGTGGTAGGTACTCAGTGTTTATTTTTACCAACAAACAGATCCTAAAAATTAAATTTAATCCAGATTAAATCAGTGTGTTGTCTGACTGCCCGCACATCAACTAGCGCTGCTTTGTAAAACTTCATACTTTTTAAACTGATTCTTCATAAATCCTTTTGTGTTTTACTCAGAGAGAAAATAAGAGATTAAACATTCTTATGTGTTAAGTAATATAATAAATAAATACATTTACTATACCTCCATATAGGCCTGCATGTAGACATAATTTTTCCCGCAGATCTTAACATACAAAGCAATATCAGAAAATGTATTGCTATGAAATCTCCTGGAAATGACTTTCATTATCGTTCCTTGTGCCCTTGAACCTCACGTTTTATCACTGAGATGTTCCTTTTGACAGTTTTACCTTAAATCTTTTCTTTATGTTAGCATTGCCCTAAGAGCCCATCAGTTAAGTGTAAATTTGAGTCGCAGAAACGTTGTTTGGTTACTTTTCATTTAATAATTAAAGTGCTTCGTGTAATTCAATAGTACTTCAATAAATTTTTTAAAAATTTAATTAAATGGCTTCAATCATGAAAACGAGTCCTTGTAGAAGATAGGAATATCTGATTTGGTGGAAGGCTTGCTTATCCCCTGTAATAATGACCAAAAATGGTTATTCTGTGGGGGAAAGTTTAAACCTTTTACTACCAGGGTTAGACCAATGGGAACTAGGTTCGAAGGCCTCTTCCACAAGGAATATTTTGGTTTGTTTTCAGTTTTAGAGGAAGTTAACAATAGAAAATAAAACAAGATATGGCAAAATCCCTGTAACTTTGACTCTTGAAGGTCAGAACATCTCCCTGCCTCCTAGGTAAATGTAGGGATGAAATGTTTAGACTTTTATTATATGCAGTTTTATTCAGGGAACATGATGCATGCTAGTGAGCTTGGTTACAGTTACAGCTTGGCTCCACTGCACAGAGAAACTATCAGAGCTGAGTTTTATCTTTACACAGCTATTATTTCTCTTCTGACTTGAACTTTAAGAACTACTCAAAAATTATCCAACAGCAGTAAGAATACTATTAATAAACTTAAAGAGAAGGAATTCTGATTTTCTTTTTATTGCCACCAGTTTTGGTAGGCAAGTTTATAGGCTAATTCAACATCTTTAAACTACACTAAACTTTGTGTTATAGGCACAGAGGTGTGGTTATTAGTCGACTTTTAAAAAGAAATGAGTAACAGAGTCACAGACATAGAAAACAAACTGTTGGTTAACAGGGGGAAAAAGGGGTGGGAAGGGATAAAATAGGAGTTTGATTTGTAGAACTAACTACTATATATAAAATAGATAAATAACAAATTTCTACTATATAACATAGGAAACTATATTGAATATCTTGTAACCTATAATGAAAAAGAATATGAAAATGAATATATGTATGTATATGTATGACTGAAACATTATGCTGTACACCAGAAATTGACACAACATTGTAAACTGACATACTTCAATTAAAACCCACAAATATTTATCATACTAGTGTTTCGTTCCCTAATATTTAATTGCTTAATTTCCCAAAGGAAAAAAAATTTTAATAAAAAAAGGAAAAAGAAACGCTATAGGAGCCATCCTTTCCACACCTAAGTATTTCTTTTACTTTCTTCTTAATCTGTATTTCTATGAAGAACTCTAATGACCTGGGTAAAATGACTCTACATGCAAAGATACCAGCAAATGCACACAACCTAGTGTTCTTTTCATTCTAGTGTTTGCGTCCTATCTTACCAGCACTGTTACTACCCCATTCTTCCCACTTTGGGAAATGATGCAGGCATTCGCTTTTATGGGCTGTTTTGTTGTCGTTGTTTTGCTTCACAGTCTGCCTCCATTATTTTCGTTGCCCTCATCTGCAACTTTACTAAATTCTCCAGATAGAGGTGCAGTCAAAAGGAAAACAAAAAACGTGTTCTGTTATTTACTTAATGCTTTTTTTTTCCTGGATGTTTACAGATAAAAATAAGCATCTGCTGGCTTTCCTTTGATCTTCCTCCATTTGTCGTATTATAACAGTATGCTTGGATTTCCCTGGGTGACAAACTGATGAGCTGAGTAGCTACTTTATCCTATGAGGAAAATGAATATTATTTCTTGCCTTTAAGTTACCTTTAAAATGTCCACTTAGAAAACTGTGCTGTAGTAAAGATCTAGTAATAGAGCTGAAAGCATCCAATCCTAGTTTTTCCTTCCATCAGTGAACTAGGAAATTTGCAATCCTGCATGCTGGCTGTCAATTAGCATTATCTCCATTTGTTTTAGATCCAGACAGGCGGTCAGTTTCCACCATGAATCTTTCGAAACATGTTGATCCGGTCATTAGCAAGCGGCTCTCCTCTTCATCTGCAACTTTACTAAATTCTCCAGATAGAGGTACAGTCAAAAGGAAAACAAAAAAAGTGTTCTGTTATTTACTTAATGCTTTTTTTTTCTGGATGTTTACAGATAAAAATAAGCATCTGAAGTTGCTTTCCCTACGTTTCTTAAATAGGAAGAAAAAAACTTCAGAGTAAAAAAGCAATAAACGTCTGAGCAGCATTTTCCTTGCGACAAGAACATTTCTCATTTTAGAACTTGGCTGAATGGTTGCATTTAGCAGTGATGGAAGCGGTGCTTCTCTCAAGTTTTTAGTACATGAGTTTACAGCTCCAGAAATCACCCACTTATCCACCAACATGCAAATAATCTTTGTTATGAACATTTATTTTACTTCAATCAGATTGTCTTTGACTTTCCACCTGTACTTTGGGAATTCCAGGCTTTAACTTTCTAAAAAACCTTTTTAAATGATTCATGTTGGTAGATTTCATTTTACTAATTTATTTCCCCTTTAACCAAACCTTTCTTACTGCATTTCTTGTGTGCGTGAGTGATTGGTTTTTTTGGTGTCCATTCATTTAAAAGGATTTGGCCTAACTTCAAGAATATCATCATTTAAGCCTCCTGAGTATTTTAATATTCATAGTCCTCCAATTAACATTTTATTTGACTTTTGAGTTTTATTCATCCCATGGATTTACAGTACATGAATGTTGAGTTATTTATAAAATGAAAGTTTTATTTTATATATTTATATATCATAGAATGAAAAATCAAGCATTTAAGATGTTACTTGTTTTACATAACTAAAATGATTTTAAATTTAAAAAACCAAAGAATTATTATGCAATATAAAAACATATACTCTTCAAAAGTAACAAATTATGGTTACTTTAAGTGCTTTATTAAGAAACTGATTAGTTTTGAAGTGTTTATAGTCTTTAAAAAGAATGTAAAGTGTGCATGTTCTATATGTGTGTATGTGTATTTGTATATTTTGTATTGTATAAAAGTTATGGTGTCATTGTAATGTACAATATAATGTGTTCATGTTATAACTAATCTCTTAAAGCAGTAAATGTTTGAACAACTTCCTATTCTTGTCTTTTAACCTAATCTTTTTTAACCTAATTTGCATGAATCATCAATATGAGACGTGTAGTCAAACTAGGGGCCTTTTATATATTAGAAAAAAGTTTTATGAGTTAGAGTTCCTTTCCTAAGTAGCATTTATTTTCAAACTCATTCCCTTAATATAATGTAAAATATAGCATGTGATTGCTGTTCTTACAGTTGCCTATTCAAGTTTCTTTGGAATCGGTCACTTACTCAGCACTTGAATTTTATATTTTTGTGAACCTGGATCTCAGGCAAACTATAATTGGGACTTCAGTAATTTTCACTTAAACCTTGCTTATTGCCTCCTGCAGTCCCATAGCTGAAACTGGGGCAAGGATGGAGTGACGAAATGGGCAATAAACCAAACAGTGTCCTATTGACACTTCTGTGGAATGACAGTGCTGTGTCACCTAGAAATAAGATGTTATGTAGATTCTTCATGATACTATCTGACTGGATATCCTTAAGTAATTGGATCTTAAAACTGGGAAAAATTTGTTGGCTCTATTACCCATTTGGGGTAATAGAGTCTCTAAGAGGCGAAGGGCCTGACTTATCCTCCAGGTTAATTGCTGGACAGCAGGGACCAGGACAGAGATCTCCAGCTCCTAACCCATATTGTTGCCAAGCTGCATCTTCTGTTCTTTCCTTCATGGATGCCCTTCCTTAGCTCAGTCCTAATTCCCTGCCTTCTTCCTTTGGTGAGGTTAGGGGTCAGGGGCAGCTCAATAAGCAGTTCATAGCTGGGGCCAGGAAATTGCCCCTTGAATCATGGCACAGACCTATAAAATACTCAGCTGGACTAACAGGATAATGGGGACAAATACTCAGCTACACTAATAGGATAATGGGGACAGCACTAAATCTGGGGTTCCACTTCTCCACCCCCTTATCAAAAGAACTGGGAACCAGTTCTGAGTTTGACTGGTGAGGTTAGCTTGGAAGGAAGATCGGCTTCATCCAGGGGCTCCTACATGGTCCAGGAAGCAATTTTTTTAAGTTAGGCAAAGCCCTCAGCACAGCAAGAGGGCTCTGTCTTTCAATGAGAATAGAAATCTTCTGAATTTGGACTTCTTAATATAGAGATTTAAGTGATTTAGTTAGTATAATTTCTTTTCTGCTACCTATTTTTAAATTTGATTATGCTTTATTATCAAAGTAGAAAGCATTCTTATCAAATTATTAGAGGCTTTACAGACAGATATTTAGAGAGTATACACCATTACTAGACTGAGCTTTCTCAGCCCTACAGCACAGGCAGGGCTGAGAAATAAATTTAATAAAGCTGATATTAAATTGAAACTCAGACACTATCAAAGTTGACATTCAGCTGGAATGCTCTACTAGTTATTAAAAATCTGAACTATTTCCATACCAGCTGGTAAATACCCACTTCACCGAGCTGAGCTTCCCCAGGCACTGCAGAGCTAGTGACTGGTATCTGCTAGCTCTGTGCCTTACCCCACCAGCATTTACATATTTTGATTATCACACTTGAATACAGTGTCGCATAGACTGATAAAATGACCGAAGTTATAGGAAACCTGATTACCAAAGATTTCTATCATTGCTGCAACAGACAGAATATTGCCACTGGAAATTTTTACAATAAAATGTGTATTTTTTATTATGTTACACTACCTGCTTAACCAGCTTTTTTTCTCAAGGAATAAGAATAGAGAATTTGAAAAAAAGTAAGACGTTAGCTATTCTTTGCTAGGAAAATTAGTCCACACATTTTTTTCCCGGAATCTAGATTAGAGGACAGGGTGGTGGACCTAAAGCTCAATTTTTCCCACATGTTCTGTTTGACCTGAGCAGGGTTTTTTGTTTTGTTGTTTTGTCATTTTGTTTCCTATTTTAATTTGAATTAATTGCCATCATATGAAAAAAATGGAAGATTTCATGTAACATTAAGGTTTCCAACTTTTAATGAAAAGTCAGGATCTGGCAACTCTTGCCTGATTTCTGTATGGCCCCCATCATCCAGAACTGAATAGTGATCCTGTTTATGGAGGAACAGGGTGGTGCAAATATGTATGCTGTTTGGTTGCCTCCCTGGGCTGGATGATCTATTATGGGAATTATCAATATCTCATTTCAGTGCTTCAATAGGATCAGCACTATAGGTTAGTTTCATGAGAATTAATATGTCTTCCTTCATAAGCTCATCATCTTAAGATCAGGCCCGTTTAGGTGAAAAAACAAAAAACAAAACAGCTAACTAACTAACTCTCCTGTATTAACCTTTACTAAAAAGTTATCTTATGGGAGAGGTCTATTTCTCTCTTCCTCGGGGCATAGTTCTGAATGTGGTAGAAGTGGAAACACGTTTCTCCTGGTAAAACGTTTCACTCACAGTTTCAGAATTACAAAACAAATCTCTTCAGATTTGCTTTAAACCCAAGTCAAAGAGGGTTTTAATTTTCTTTATTTGAGGCACATTCTTTGGTTGATGCCTTAAAGACCAACAGAAATAAAGTAATTGCACTTCTTAATGAAGGGGGAGAAAAGACATGTCATATCAATGATAAACCGTCTCTGCAGTTCTAAGCCAGTCATCCTACAGAGTTGAAGAAAAGGAAGTATTTACCTCTTCTCCCCTTGATCATCTACTGAAAATACAGTTCTGTTGAAGATTTTAACTTAATCCTAATCACCTTTCCCCACTAATTTCTCTGAATGTATTCTAATTTTAGATTACATTCTGTTGTTGGTACACATACACACACACACATGGCCATACCACAGTTTGTAATAGCACCTATCCTATTGTGCGTGCTACTGTGTAACTATTACAATAGTTTTTATAATAGATATTTTTATTTATGTCTTAATATCAGCAGCTAAGATTTAGTTGGATCATTGAAGACTCTCCCAATAAACAGAAAATCTAGTAAACAATTCACTGATTCTTAAATTTACCAGAGCCTTGATTGAAATAGCTACTCTTTTAAAATAAAGTCACATATTTAAAGTACTCGTTGGAGGTTGGTACTTCCTTTCAAATAGGAGCAGATATTTTCTGTAACAACCTCTAACATCAGATGGCTTCCATTAACTAAAACTTATTTTCTAGAATTTAAATGTCATTTCTTTAAAATATAACACATAACATATAAAAATTATTATAAGAACAGTTATTCCAGAGGCCAGAGGACTTGCACCTGCTGCTTTTGGTACAGAACAGAAGTGGCCCTGTCAGGTTTAGACAGTTTTAAAGGCTCGTCTAAGTGAGTTGGCAGTGTGTTCTAAAATAGAGATACAGTTCTCCCTCAGTGTTCATGGAGGGTTGGTTCCAGGAGCCGCCACAGATATCAAAATTCTCAGATGCTCAAGTCCCGTAGCGGGCCCTCCGCATCTGTGGATTCCGCATCCATGGATACCGAAGGCCGACTATATATTTATTGGGAAATATCCACATATAAGTGGACCCACACAGTTCAAACCTGTGTTGTTCAAGGGTCAACTGTATATGATCACGTTAGTGATTTCTGTAAGATTTTGCAAGGTTCTCTCCTGATATGTTTGGAAAGTAACATCTGTATTTTCATGGACCATCACTGGAGGCTAACAGTATAAGCAAAGTCATCAATTTATAATTAGAATGCATTTCCTAAGAATGGTCTTGCCAAGCCCCAGTACAACTTGGGACTCTACTTCACTGCACCATTTTAAATTTATTTTCTGGATTCTTCACACACCCACTAGTAATTTTCAGCATTATGGTTATATTGGATTTTGGCTTTTCTGTCTTAATTTTATCTTCCTTCAGTTTTACCCTTATCCTCCATCAAAACTTTTATGTTGTTGCCAAACCAAGGACCTCAAAGAACCTGCTTGCTGACTGGGAAAGTCAAAAGGAAAACCTATACAGAACTTTGCATGAGTCCTCTTTCTTTTTATTATATTTAATTTCTCCCAATTGTCGAAGTAGCAATTCATGGAGATATAGCAAAATTTAATGGCAACCCTTTCTACCTTTATTTACGTGTTTCCAGTCTTGCATTAAGCTGCCAAAGCTCTGTTGGAGTTGACATTCAGGGTACTTAGGACGCCCTTTGGCTGAGGTGTGTGCCATCAGTACACCGCCTATCCTGGTGAGGGCAGATGGGTACCACTGGACTCAGAGAAACATGCCAGACCTGTAGTTAAAATGTTTTTTCTGTTTTGTTACCTGTTGACTCCAAAGGAGGATGGTTAGCAAAATATGTGTCCGAAAAACTAGTATAGAGCCACAAACTTAACATCTTGAAGAAAGGCAACCTTACAGAACACTGGCTCCTTTGAATAGAGTCCCTCCTGCCCTGACTCTCCACAAGCTTCCTCCCCAGACAACCTGGTCTCTCTCGAGGTCTCTCTCGAAGGCCTGGCGTGTGGAAGCAATAGGAGTGATGCCTTCCACCCCCTTGCCCCTGGAAAGAATGTTTCTAACATCTCGCTTATGTGGTGACGTTTAGCTCGCCGCCTGCAGCTCAGCCCATGGGAGAGCAGCGTCGTTAACAGATTGCTGACGCCCACACATTCGTTCCTGGCCAGAAGTAAAAGCACAGCTGCCTTGTCTGGAGATACAGGTAAAACGGTCAAGGTGCAACTTTCTGCTGAGGTAAAGTCCTCCTCTAACAGCATCTCTGAGCCACCTGTACTCATCTAATCACATCTGATTTTTCCCATTGTGTGCTTCTCCTCCTCCTGGTGGAATGGCTTTGGAATTGTGTCTGTTGGTGTTGGTTTCATGGCCCCGGTATTGTTTCCTCTTAGTATCCATCTTAGAGTCTTATTTGGACACCAGACGCCAGGCAGACAAAGGATGCCCCTCCCTGTGATCAGATGGCTTCAGAGACTTCTGTCTGTTCATAATGTTACCAGAAAATCCTATCCCTTACCCACCTTTCCTCCTGTCCCTGCATCTGAGCAGATGACCAAGGGTAGAAATAATTTAATATTTAATTCTAATTTGTAGACTCGGGAATAAAGTCAAAGCACAGACCAATTTAAGCATAGCGTTTCATAGTATGGCTGTGGTCTAGCCGCTCATCCTCCCTGGGCTAGTCTTCTATACGTAATTGAGTACCATTTCAAAACTAAATGTTGGAGAAGGCTAATTACAGTGTTCTTATTTGTTGCACACTTTGAAAATATATAAAATGTTCCAAGTACTGGTTATTACAGTTAGTTGTAACTCCACTACTTTTTCAAAATGTAAAACGTGCCTGAATGAACCAACTAGTTTAATGAGAAGTTAGTATAGAGTCTGTATCTAGCTGGGCAGAAAGATAAATATTGGGCTTTTGGCAGCATCTCTCTCATGGTGAGCTGATTTAGATTTTCCCAAATATCTTTGGGCATAGTTGGTGTATCTACGTAACCAGCCCTCATCTTTGACACATAGGAAATTGCATAGCCTCTTCATAAAGCTCCCTTTCAAACAGCTTCGCCTCTGCAAGCCTCTTCATGTTCACTAGCCCTCTTTATAAATAATAATTCTTGGTGGTTTTATAATGTCTTTCATCTATGGTGCCCAATGAGCTAGTTTCAACGTGAGTTCTCACAATACCCCTGGGAAGCAGTCAAGAAAGCAAGTGCAGGCATTCCCACCACCTGCCTATGGAAACCAAGCACATTGACACTTGGAAAATTGATGGACTAGATCTTAAACATGCTTACCCCTCCATCCTCAGCACCCTCAGTGATGCTCTGTCTACAATTGTGCATTCAACTAGCTGGACCATAGTGATCTGTATTTTCTGTAAAGTCAGTCTCCTGTCAGCTGTCACATTGCATCTGAGATTTTTCTGGAGGAAAAATTATAGTTTATTTCAAGATGGTTTATTTTTATGCCCATGAATGTCATCCTTTTTTATGTAAGTCATGAAAGCTTTTCTTTATGTCCAGCTAATTGAAGAAACTGCTTTTCAGTCCTATTTCATAGGATCGAAATTGTTTATGGCTCTCATACTTCCGAACCTCCACATTGTGTGTGGTTTCATACTAAAGGACTGCCTCACAGCTAAAAAAAATTGTCTTTCTTTGCTCTTTCTGTCATCACTAATTTTTGTCAATTCTTTCACTCTTCCTCTAGTCTCTTTCAACACCATTTCCTCATTTTCCATGCATTCTACTTGCCCATCTTCCCGCCTTCCTTCTTCATTGTTATTCTCAATCAAGGTGCTTTTTAATCTGCTAACCGGCTCTTCTTTACTTTGCAACTCCTCCATCTTCCTTTTCACAGATCAATACATTTTTGTAATTGATTTTAGTGTGAAGTAATACATAGCTTTTACTTGAGTTGCCTTTCTGTTAATACATTCTTTAGATCATTAATTGCATTGATACAGCGATACAGCTTATGTTTAATGAACCAACTGTTTTTTAATTTCCATTTGAAAACTTTTATGGAAACGTCTCTTACATTTATCTTGTCAAAAACACTTTTCCCATGACTTTTATTTTTCCATCTGCTCCCCTTGATTAGTCTTTCTTGTCTTCCCATTTTAGTGTTGTCCCTTAAGTTCACCTCATAATCCACTTGCCACTGGCAAGAGGATGACCTACATCCAGAGCCAGAGTTATAATAGCAGATCAAAAACAGCCATCCTTACCTCTAGGGTGTTCAGTGATTGCAAACTCCCAGAACAAGCAATAAGAGCAGTTGAAAATTGGAAATCAGAGTCTCAGATGTCTCACTTGTGGCCACAGCTTTGGGTTGATTATTCCTTGCTCATTTTTAAAAATATATTTAAGATACCTGTGATTATTAGAGCCCAGGATGAAATGAGTTAATACATGTAGAAATCTCAGACTAGTACCTGCACATAGTTGGCACTCAGTAAATATTATTATTATTCTACTGTGTAATTATTCTCTAAGCTGCACCCTAACCCCTTGAACTGCATTCTCTGCAGCCATTATTTCATATAGAAAATCTTGAATGAGTTAAATTAAGGTACGCATGCTACCAAGAGTAGAAAGAAATACCAGTATTGTAGGAGACTTTCTCAAAGACATTTCCATAAAAGAAATTTCATGTTTACAAACAACTTTGGGATATAGAGGGCACTCTAGGGGGAAAAAGCAACTACTATATATTGCTCTTACTATTTTGTCAAATAGGCAAGATTATTAGAATAATTGATTTAAAAGTTTCAGGTTTTTCACTAGTTACTATTAAGAACAGCAATGAATTCCATGTACTGTAGCCTTAGAAGGAATTTGTAATGTTTATTTTAGCCAGAGGAGGTTTCTTGAACAATTAAATTTGAGGATTTTTGCATAGACTACACTTGGATAGGTTTAAGGATGTTTTCCTCCTTTCCTTAGTGTTAACTGGTCAGTATGATAAAGAATGAACCAGAGGCATGGTGAGATGGCCTTACATCCAGGATGGTCTCAGGAAATGCTCCATTGATACCCCCCAAAATTATTACTTGCCAGTAAAGGGAAAAGAAATCATACTTCTGTGCTCCATTCCTTTTTCAGTGTCAGACCTATGGCCTCAGAGCAGGGTTATCTAATGTTTCCTGATCCTTTGGCAAGGTTAATGGCCTCTGGCTGTGCCCTGGGCCGTGTGTGCCTCTCTTGGTCATTAATACCACCGAAGTGCCTTGTGCCAGGATATTCTTTAAATGCGTTTGATTGGCATTTGGCGTTTGATTGAGGTTTACGTTAATGAACTCTTTCTTCGTCTGGGAAGTGCGATTGCTTTGTTGTGGCACTGAAGAAAAGGTTATTTTCAAATAGTTATCCATGTGCTCACAACAAGCCAAGGAAGGAGACGTCTTCCTTCTTCACAACACTAAGGGAAGCTTCCTCCACCATTAAGGTCTGAAGCGAAGCTTTATGTCAGCTTGCAAGTAAGACACATACTCTTTTAAGGAGAACTGAGGGTT